CTAAATTCAATCAATCCGTGATTTTATGTTACCGTCAAATGTTGTCAGTCAACCAGTGATGTAAATTACAAACTTATTAGTTTACTCATTAACAGTGATCATCCACGACCACTCTCGTGATAGAAACTAAAGAGATGAGGTAGTGGATTTTTCCCTATCTGCTCTAATTTGTACGACCCACTTGAAATGGATTGCACATAAGTACTTTTCTACTGAAATCCAGTCTATGATAGTCTAACATACTTTTGAACTAGATTCTATTCTTAACCGATTAAAGTAAATGTTAATTTCCCAAGTATACGGATCATCAATCAAGGAGGTTATCTACGTGTACTGAGTCAGGTCATACAGATGTCCATACTTGGACCCAGCGTGCGTGTTTCGTCGACATAGTACATAAAAAATTCAAGAGTTCTAACTAGATAAACCTTTTGTCCTACTTGACATGAAGTCCGAATATTGACATCTTCAACATTTAGTTCAGAAGATGGTTTCAGGAAACGAGGAATAAAATTCCGGGAATCCAAATCTTTAGCAATGACTCGGTGATAAAGTAATAGGAAAAAGGTTGATAGTGAGGACAGAAGAAATACTTAGAAGCGATCAAATGTTTTATCGTGAACAAGAGGATCTCGAGTTCTGTTAAGGTTATGTGGGCTGTTATTATCTCCTGGGTACCCAAACCATGGAAGAGTACTTATCAAGGTACCTGAAAATGAGGTGGATTAATAGTGGTCATGATTACATGCAAACGTAACCGCAGAGCCCAAGGGACAAATACTTGAGACCAGTCACACATGAGCTTTATGCGAAAAGTTTTCTATGCGTTATGTCTGTATCTTAAAGACCTTATCGCGAGAGACTGAAATCCATGGGACCGACATTTTCTAACCGTTTTCTTCCTTGATAAAAAGTTAACATCACTGCAGATAATGTTTATTTTAGGGAAACACCTCACTACTTTCACACTCAAGCTCAGTCAGCGGTATAACTTTACTCTCGAACCTTTAGTCGTTGCTTTTATTTACACCATTGTCCACCCGACCCGACCGGCATGATAATATGATATGAATTAAAGGGACAATTGTGCCAACTAATATAACTCTTCTGGTTTATCACGATATGCAAGTTCGACAACTATGTCAAGGTATCAGCTACAGTCGAAGTTGTTAGTTATAGACATAATTAATCATGGTTCTGTGTGCATGACATCCAGTCGAAACCGGAGAAAAGGAAATACAACCAAACTATTGTGATACTGATAGATAGCTGCTGCATAGTGATAAGACATTACACACTCAGCAGAGGCTCTCCAGCGATCCCACCCGTCTAATTCGATTATAACACTAGATCACTGCCCTTAGTTACAGAATTTATTCTACACAGATTTACTTTTATTAAAATACAAAATGACCATGAGGAAGAGCCACTCAGACAACATAAAGACAATAAAAATAAAATGACTAAACAAATAGAGAGCTTGTCTTCTGGAAGCTTACAGTGACGTTGTAGACAATGGAAACAAAAATGAGACAATTGCTTACATACCCTTATATTATGATAAACAAACCCTTTTAGTCTCGATCCACTTGTTTTTTTTTATAGAATATGTATCATCCAAAGCTGTATGTTGCTGATTAAACAATAGTATAATGTCTTCTGATTTTCAAGTTTTATCCAGCTAACATCGGTACCTAATTGTAAGCATCTTCAAAATCAACTTAAATTTCAGCAACCTACTTATTAGAATAAAAATTTTCACTAAAGTTTACCTTCACCTTGACATAGACTTGCATTTTCACATACCTGTAAACATTGACACTTTATACATAGATGTATATTTATAAACATTTATGTGAAATCAAAGGTTAATCATTTTAATTTTGATATGTGAATATTTTTGTAGACAGATGGACGATTAGTAATAGTTAAAATATGAATAATATTGACTACCTTTATCTTAGTGCTTATCATTATTCAATTAATTAACTGAATATATATAACGAAATGTATAATAGAAAGGTAGAATGAAGTGCTTTATTGACATGATAAAGTACAAATATCATTACCGCGACAATAGGAAAACAACAGAATAAATAAATAAGATTAATTTTAAGTTTTTCTCTATTAAATATAATTTTCACACTTTAAAAAAAAATTCTTACATAACATACTTTTGAATTTGATTCTATTCTTAACCGATTAAAGTAAATGTTAATTTCCCAAGTATACGGATCATCAGTCAAGGAGGTTATCTACGTATACTGAGTCTGGTCATACAGATGTCCATACTTGAACATGGTGGGGACCACCTTGGACTCATAACTGTACAGTCTGATAATGAAGTTATTGAAAACAATTGTTCGCTCAAATATTCTTCATTTTTAAAACGGAATAATAATAAAAAATTCCAAATTTCCAAATTATTTGTTGTTTAAATATTTAAATTCTGAGTTCAATATTAGATTGACCATAGATAACCGACTGGTAGACAATCTTTTACTGACTTATGTCTTTATATTTTTTCTTATCAAATTATCTCTTGTTGATTTTAATTTTATGATGAGGTGATGAAGTTCCTTTTAAATAAAAATTTACTTGAAGGAACTTTGCACTATATTGAATACGTGAAGTTTCATTATACTCTACTATCAATTGTTAGTATAAATTATCTTATTCTCCATCATTTATCTTACATTTAGGAATCTTGTTAAGAGAATATAAATATGATTTCTAATTACCAATAACTTGAGTATATTGTTTGTTTATTGATATGTGTAGTGTGCTTTATACTGATTTTACTGGTCCTGTTCAGTTATCTTTCTCTTGGAGATCTCTTTTCTTTCAGTGAAATCCATTTTAGGATCATTCTTGTAAGATACTAAATGGTTAAAACGTTATAATTTGTGAAATACAAAAAATTAACTATCGATAAGCTGTTAGCTTTAAATGCTACTCTAAAATTACATTAAAACTCACAAAGTTATCAAATGGAAATGTGGATAAAGCTACTTCACCTATTGTTTAAGTTTTAAAAAAAAGATCTCTAATTGGATTTTAACAGTATCTAGACAGTGATGTAAGATTGTGTAGACATTTTACCGACAGGTCCTAAATGTGGCTGAAATACAAATTCAGTCTTTCTTGGTTTACTGAATGGTGTCAGTCGATGAAGTCGACTACTTGCTAAAAAATATTAAACTAAATTTTGATTTTAAGCGTTCGGGATTTCAACGCCTGAACCATCCAACTTTGCTTAACATGTTTGCGACTCATCGGTAATATTGAGGCAATCCACAAAGGATGTGCATGTGCCGAAAATGAATGATCAATTACAGTTCAATAATGTAAATGGGAAAATTCAAACAATCAATAGAAAATAATTAAATTGTAATGGTTATGGTAATGTTTTCATGTACATTTTGGGAGAAATTAAATGGCTTGAAGAAAGTTTTCATAGGAACGCTATTTTGACTCCAGATTTGAGCGGTGCTGGGAAAAACACAACTCAGCAAATATTTCGAGCTTCTGTCTGGATAGAGATTACTTTCAATGAAACCTAAATGTGATAGCGAAAGTTGCAGATTTCCGAGTTATCAATATAACTGTGATTGCATTATATATAATTTTCACTTTATGGTGAATATTTTTCAGTATGTGGATTTGTGAAGATTGTAGTATTTTCACAGTTGAAATCACGAGTTGATCTAAGCTAGACCACCATTGAGAACCTAAAAGCGCTCGACGGCCATCTCATCATAGTATTGGACTCCTTGACAATCCGCATCCACGATCCTGCACGCAAGACATTAATACCGTTGAATGCCGAATCCTCGTCTTAGAAGTTAAGCTCGCGGGATTACGGATACGCACTTTTAAGGAGTCCCGTACTAGGATGAAACGGTCGTCCAGTGCTTCCAGGTTTTTAATGGTGACCTATTCTAATTCAACTCTTGATTTCAACCGTGAAAAATTTCCAGGCAATACAGGTGACTTTCGCTCATGAATAACAATTCTTAGTGTATACATATTATGCGCCTTGTGAATTTGTAAATTCCCATCTCATCTAATGGAATGGCTCACCTAATGAGAACTAAAACTACGATACAATTTTATACCAATAATGCGTTGTCTAGTTCTTTACAAATCAATGATTGGACAATTCACTTTATGTGATGACCTACTAAAATAATTCACACCTGAACGTAGCGAACCCCGAACATTATTATTCATATTCCTGTTTTTCGAATTTCATCTCCTTTTTTTCCATTTCGTATTGTTCTTTATTCCATTACTTTCTACTTTAACTACTGTCATCAGGTGTATACTAGTGCTAAAGCTTTCAAGAAATTGCTTAAATCCTATACATAGACACATAGACCAACGGGGAACGTATGTTTCTTTATGTATACAAATATGTATTTAAATCCTACCTAGTAGAAAATGTCTAGAATCTCCTTGTTAGTTTCTCTGAAAGGGTAGGAAAGTACACATGAAAACATTGCGGTGCAATATCTCACCTGTATCCTAATTGGTTGAATAGATTCATATATACGTACATACATAACATATATGTATGAATAGTAAAGTTGTTAACCTATTTGCCCACGTGTTAACCAGTGGTTTTTGTAAAGGTGTATGTAGGCGTGGTATGATGTTACTGCCTCTATCATATTATATTTCAAAAATAGTAGGTGAAATGCTGTAACCTGTTTTGCCAGGTGGTATGGTAAATGGGCATATATGTGGTGGGGGGGAGGGTAGTGAGAAGTAGAATTTATAGAAAGGGAGTTAAAACTCACCTTGATTTCAAGTGAATGAAATTCAGATAGAAGGTAAACACACCGTCATAAGTGTTTGTATGTCTCACAAGAATTCATCAGTTACTCTCTATGATCACAGAATTCAAATGAGATCAATTAATCCACTTCTTTTCACCTCTTTTACTTATCTCAAAGATGACTATCATATACTAAAATGTATTTTTGACAAATTTTCAGATCATACTGAACAATATCAAACATTGAAAACTTGTGAATTTTCAAATTATTTAACTCCTGACATATCTACTGGAAGCATAGCTAACCCACCATTAATATTGATAACACCAACTTCAAGGATGATCAATACTTCAGATTGTTCATCTACTCCATGTTCAACATTGTCGTCTTTATCATCCTCTTCAACATCGTCATCATCATGTGAACCTGATTCAAAAAAACCAAAAATTTCCATGGAGCATAAATCACCGTCCAAAAGTGTAAGAATACTGTCTAAACAGTTGACAGTGAGCAAAATGGAGTTATACCCTGATACGTCAACAGCAACATTAGAAGTAAATCAACATGTAAAACAATGCCAAGAAAATATCTCATCAACTAATTATTCCATTCAACTAAAATTGGATAAACGTGAACATAATGATTCAGTGGAGCAACAACATTCAACCATGGAAATTGATTCATCCACACGTAATACACCAATATGTAGTCAATGTGGTAAACAATTTGCTAATATTTATCGTTTACACAGACATTTACTTAGTCACACTGAAAGTTATGAATTACGCAAATTCCGTTGTTCTCAGTGTACAAAAGCATTTAAATTTAAGCATCATTTAAAAGAACATGAAAGAATTCATAGTGGTGAAAAACCATTTATGTGTTCACAATGCGGTAAACGTTTTAGCCATTCCGGTTCATATTCAAGTCATATGTCAAGCAAAAAATGTAATACCAATGGTAACAGTAATAATGAAGCTAAAACAACAATTACACATACTCCTAATGTCAGAATTCATCATAACAAAAATATTAGCGATGTTGGTCAAATGTTTGCAACTAATGATACTCTTACGAATCAAATATCTTTTAATAAAATAAACCAACTCACGTCATCTTTTGAATTACACAAAAACAAGGTAAATGTATTAAATAGAGAACACGATATTAGAAATAGTATTCATATCAGTGAAGACACTGAACTTAGCTCTGTTTCAAGTATATTAGAATCTGTCAATCAAGTTAATAATTCGGATTATTTTTTAAAATTTAATCATTTAAAACTAGATAACTATTTGCCAGCTAATTCATCGAACCAGTTTAATTCACAGTTAAAGAATGATGAAATTAGTGAGCATGTTCACAGTACTACTACTAGTAGTAGTATTATTACCACTTTAAATACCATTGCTAATAATAGTACTTTACACCATGCAGATGAACAACCTGACGAGTTATTATGTAGTCAGTACGATTTGAAAAATTCGTCCAAATCAGAGTTAGAAATACAAAATTTAGCAATTATGCTTGGAATAAAACCAGAAAATGCGGAACAATTATTCCAACATCTGTATACAACTGAACAACATCAATGTATGGAACAGAAAAAACAATTTGTCAATGCCTACAATACACAATATTCGCACTATTATCCAATACAACATGGAAATATAGTTACATCTTCACCAGTGATCTCAGTAGTCAATAATCATGAATTACTTAATCGTCAACCGAAGTCGTTCAATAATGACAGTTTTACCAAGTATGAAAGTTATAAAGTCGATAATTATGCTTCGAACTCATTATCATCCTCTGCCTTTTTCTCTACTTTACCTTCTTTCTCACCATTATCATCATCACCTTCAATATCCTATCTCGGTGTTTCTTCATCTTCTTCATTATCGTCTATATCAGCAACAAATATGACAAATTTACCATCGACAGTGTGCTCATCTAATTATTCACAACAGGATCCATCGATGATATTCTGTCAACTATCTCCAGATATCATGAAACATATAATTTCGAATTTACACAGAAATAATGTATTAAATTACTCAACTCCATTATCATCTTTTACTTATAAACAACAGGATTTTAATTCACGCATGATGGAAACACGGCAATCCTCACCGTCACCACCACCACCACAATCATCACCGTTGGAAATGATGATGACAGCGGCGACGACGAAAACTGCACAACCAATTACATTTGTACAACAGGAGAAAGAAACGATTTCGGAATGCCGAAGTGAGGAGCTTCATGAAGATCAGGAAAAGGCTTTAGATTTGTCATTGCCTCGAATAAAACCTGATGATATACCATTAAGTACAGACAATCAACAGTTTAACTATTCAAATTCTTATCAACCGGACATTCATAATTCACCTAACCTAATCTGGTCAACATCATCAACAATGACATTTATGGAAGCGGCTACTGCAGCGGTTGCAGCTGTTTCCTTTTTATCGCGAACATCAAATGAAATGAATTATTCCAATCAAAATTTAGAACATTTAAATGATATTTCAATAAAGGATTTATCACAGTCATCTAGGTCAATATCACCTAACAATTCTTCATGGACATATGAACTTAACAGAAATTGTATTCATAATATTAGTGATAGCAGTAACGATTGTAAAACTGAAAGAAATAATCATTATAATACAAATGAGTTTGACTATTCTACTTATATAAAGACCACAATGGATAAGAGAAGCGTTGTGAAGGAAGTTAGTTACCATATATTTACATTATTCATAAATTATATGACTGTCAAGATTAATTGTTATTTAACCTTAACAGTGTTTTAAGAAAAAAGTGAAACTCAATATTTTATAAATAAAAAACGGATTGACGCCTTCAGTTTCTTCCGGATACTCCTTCCTAGAAGTTAACTGGATATCATAGGGTAACTCTGTATATATATCATTAAAGTTTATAAAATTTAGATCAGCTAGCTATATATGGAGTGTAGTATGATCTGAAAAGTCAGTTCTTAAAGTATATACGATCAAAATCAATTGAATTATCATTAGATCCTTTATTTTACTATTCACCTTGACTATATGTTGTAACTAATGGTCGCTTTAAATAGAATCAATCACATAATGATTTATAAATTAAAACACTGATTTCCCACTTACGTTTTCTAACCCACCTCACTTAATACTATTCTCATACAGGTGGAATAGTTAAGAGTCAAATTAACGGAACTGCACATAGTTACTGATTTAAATCCATTTTTAAAATAAATTGTTTTTAGTACACTTCAGTACTATGTCTTCAGTTCGTTTACAAGTAAACTAGAGGACCTAGTCTCAATAGCTATTTATTGAAATCCTAAATAAAGAAATCATTCTTTAGATTAAATTTTAATGATATTAAAAATGAAAATAAAACAAATATTTCCTAATTAGGTGGTACTGGGAAGAGTTCCTATAATTTGGAAGTACTTTTCATTCCTAAACTAACGTTGGATGAGGGACTCTCGAAGACTGTGAATTATTAGATGAATTGAACAGACTAATATGGGAATCCTCATCATTGCAAACTCATAACCAGTGTTCCACATGTGGTTGAATTTTGAAACTTTGATTTTCTGGCGATCAGGAAGCCGTGAAATGTCATTTTTAAGAACCAAACTGTAATTCCCTGATCACAATGAGTGAGGATAGTGTCATAGTCAGTAACAGCTGTTTTGAACAAAAGGGAAAGCACTGAGTAAATTTTTGATAAAACAAAACTGACTTGTAAAATCTAATATTGGTCATGTAGAGAAAAATTTATTATTCTCAGTCCAATTCTCAATGATAACTTCTGTAACTCGATGGGCTAATGGATAACTTTAAAGATATTCTTTCTAAGAATCTATCATTCAGAAATTTATGGAATATAAAATTATCACATTCATTATATTGTAAATGCTTGTTGATATTTATTAGATCAGATAGTTTTTCTGTTTTTATTTATATGCTGCCTTAAAAGAGTTTACTATTCCTAAATAATTTCATCTGTTTTATCGTTTCTGATAATACAAACGTTTATTGTTGTTTAACTTACAATTCTAAACAAAGAAATGTGTTGTGATCATGAATTATGCTCGGCGCAGTTTAATTTTGTCGACAGTAAGACCAGAATCACATATGAAACTGGATAATCATTGCACTATATCAAGGATTAACTAATGTTGGAAATGTAGACCATTCAGTTACAATTCACTGGACGAAAGCCTTCGCACACAATGCGTCAACTGAGTACCCTAAATTTGATTGTTGTTAAGGCCTTGAGTGGGGATTGTTGAGAAATATAAACATAAAAGGAACCGATTTTCTAGTGTTATTTGGTTTCCTACGCCTCATCAGTTGAACCTAACTGCTGATGATACCATATTAAAAATGAATGGATCTTGACTTGTGAAGTGACTGAGAAATATTTGAGGAGTAATTTACTTGTTCAATAATACGAATTATTCATCAATAAAATAATTAAAGAATATCGTGTTACAACAATAATGGCTTAGTAATCCACCATAAGTATAATAAATATGCATTTATTCTCTGAGTTCTGTGAATAGGTTAAAAATGTTTCGTCATCGAAATAGGTAATATTTTCACTGTATTTGTTATGATTATTAATAGAATAATCATGTTAAGTGTTGGAAAATAAGGTATGGATGAATAGATTTACTGTCATCAAAACCTAATTATGCGCATCTTTAAGTGTAAACTAGATGATTTTTTTAACACAACACTTTATCAGTTAAAGTGCAAAACTTTAATGTTATTGACATGAATGATTCATTTTGAGTATGATGTGGCTAACAATCACTGTAGTGGTGTTTTTGTTCACAAATGTTATGTAATATAACATTCAGTTCATGATCATCATAACTCAACTGATAAACATTGATACAGTGTATTATAAGCATTAGTGTTATTTTCTCATTACAATATGAAAAAGTATTACGCACGTCGTTTTTTCATGAATTTATTTACTGGAATACGAGGATACTGGTGACCCGGTAAATAAACTACTCAATATAGTGAGTATTGAAATTTTATTAACATTGATTACTACTACTACTACTACTACTACTACTACTACTACTACTACTACTACTACTACTACTACTACTACTACTACTGATAACAATGGTAATGGTAAAAAAAAGCCAGGTTTATAAAAGAATGATGGTGTGAAGAGCTAACTAAAAAGTTAACTCCATTCTAGGCAGTATTTAATTGAATTTAGACGAAAGTTAATGATTATACAAGTGTTTATGTATAGGATGATATATTTGTGACCATGATATTGTTAATTCATTAATTGTTCTAAAATACACAGCTGGAATGAAATTCAAACTTATAAGCCAGAAAGAAATTGTGTGTAGGGTCGAAACCACTTAAAAACACACATGGGTGGCCATTCTAGTGACATATATATTACCATAGATTCATCTGTTAGCATACATATAACTATGGGTATTTTAATCGTGTTACAAACAAGATAATACACAAAATAGACCAGGATACAAATATGATCTTATGAAGTGCATAATAACTTTTTAACTTAATTGACCTGTAAGTTGTGGACAAAGCAGAAGACTAGCTAAGAAATATAGACATTTTAAAGTTTTTTCAAACTGATCGTTAACTAATTTAAACTGAAATCCAGATAATTTTATTTTTTACACACTTTCTACTCACTCAATATATAGGAGTAAATGAAAGTATACGGATTCATTTCGAGTTTCTGACAGCTAACAAGAAAACAACACAGTTATTCTGCATTGTATGGATTGTCTTTGATATTTCATCATCTCACAACACTAATTAATAGATTTTACATTAATTTTTAAAAATAACTAATGCTGACATACTGTTTAATCAATGAGTTTAGTATTGATATTTTAATAGTTGAATTCATGAGTCGATCTAAACTAGAACACTAGTGGAAACCTGGAAGTACTGGACGGCCGTTTCGTCCTAGTATGGAACTCCTCATCAGTGTGCGTTCACAACTTCACATATGGGACTTGAACCCAGGACCTCCGATCTCTCACGCAAACAGTTAAGTCCTAGACATTAACACCGTTGGATGTCAGCTAAGTGGTCTAGAGGTTGGGCGCTCTCTCGAGAGACGTAAGGTCCTGGGTTCAAGTCCCATATCTGAAATCGTGAACGCACGCTGATGAGGAGTCCCATACTAGGATGAAACGGCCGTCCAGTGCTCCCAGGTTTCCAATAGTGCTCTAGTTTAGACCGACTCATGTATTTAACAATTAAAATTACTACAATCTCCACAAACCAGCATTCTGATTGTTATTAATAGTTTAGCGAATAAAATTTCTGTTGGAGATTGTTGTTTCATTTTAGTATTTATAATGATGAAAAGCAACAAGTCTAATTTTATGATTATTAATCAGTAGTCAGTTAGTTAATCGGTTAAAGTGCAGATGATCTTCGTTGAAACTAACAATCTTTTTCCTACAAAAAAGCTAGTTGTATAAACGACTTATAATTGTGTGACCATTTTCAGTGTTATCTTTTTGTATACATCTTGATTCTTTCTTTACCCCTTTAGCTAAGAGATGCTGAAAATTCATCCACTCAAATCAATGAACAACAAGACACCAGTGATCGTATTCAATCTGATAAAAAGATTAATGGCCATATCAATGATAATAGTTATTATAATCATTTATATCATCTCAGTGTTTGTGAAAAATTGGAGAAATATGGAAAAAGTAACAATAGTTTTAATGACAGTATCAATGGTAGCATTAGTAGTTGTAGTGATGGCGTCAATAACACGGAAGTATTTGCTTGTGATCAATGTCAAAAAGTATTTTCTAAACATAGTTCACTATCCAGGCACAAATATGAGCATACTGGTGAGTTGATAAGTTAATTTTTGTAAAACAAGTTACTGATTTTTATATTTCACTCTAAGAATTTATTGATATTCTTCCTAAATAAATGTGACAATATATTGGAGATTTATTATGAATGCAAACTAGCCCAGAAACCGGATTCAGTGTCTCATATCGATTTTATACAACTATCTAAAAAAATTCATCGTGACATTAAATCACATTAGTTTAGTATCAGCATTACAAATCTGATCGAAGGAATCTGATTAGTACAAAGAACTCAAACAACATAACATTGATTATTACTCAGTACTCGAATGATACTAAACAGATACAACTCGATCCTATTTGAAATGTTGAGATGAAATTAGATCCAATAAATGGATTAATATATTATAAATAGCCTTTTTAAAAAATCAGCTATTTTATATGGGTTTTACAACAGAAAGGATTATTTGTTCAATTTTATAATAGAGATAATCGCAACAATAATAGCCGTAAACTGTTAAAAATTTCATTGATTTGAAAGTGTTGTTCAGTGTTTATCAATCATGTAATTTAGACGAATTGTCAACTAATTAAGTGGATAGAATGCTTTTTATTTGTAACTTCATTTGTGTACATAATTCTGCATGATTAAGTGTTTTTGAGTTAGATTCACTCAGTTTCATAGTGATGACCAGTCACGGGAAATTGCATTTTCCTTACTTTGTCGTGTGTTAATATATAATAAATGTTCGTTTTTATAACTTAGGATAATTCCAGATTAACTTGAAGGTACTTTCTTGAAAAAGTAGTATTTGAATTAACCAACACACTTAATAAAAAGCAACAGAACTGAAATTTCCTGTTTACATACACTTGTGGTTCTAAAATTGTTGCTTTTTTAACTTGGTAACAATAAAAACATGTAAATAACAACAGTAGTCCTAATGAACGTTGAAAAATCAAGTGTATATACGCTGACAGCTAGGTCTTACTTTATTAAAATGACTTGTCGCTAAGCTAAATGCACTTTTATACTTTCCCACTTAGTAACAACTACACAATATCATCTCTACATGAGATACATTTCTTGTTCAATTTCTGCAAATTCTCAGGTAATTTATAACCAAGGTACATAAGTTGGTAACAACGAAAACTATAGAAGCATTATCCCGGATAAACTAAATGTAGGTGTGTAGGGTGTGAATTAAAGTAAAAATATGATTCCGCTCTAAACTTTACGTTACAGTTCTTGAATAATGTCGGAGCTTTTACACTAACGTTTTGTGACAATAATCAGTAGCAAGGAAAATCTTTTGTCCTAATTGTATTCACTAATTCTGAATAATTATTTCTAAGCTTCTGGGTTTTTATCCATAAATGTAGGACTTTTGAAAGTAACAGTCTTTACCAAATAATATGAACTGAAGAATTATTCCAAATCGGAAAGCATTGAAAATATATATCATGCTAGTTCAGAATGCCTCTACAAATCTTTTATTTTAATAATGATTAATCTCTCAATTATGAGACATATTTTTGAATTGCTAGTGAGAAGCGGGGTCCAATCATCACAGAAACGAAGGAGTTGTCTCAGACGGTAACTGATGATGATTGAATAACACCGCATGTCGACTGAAGTTGAAAATGTTTATCATCGAATGAAAACCAATTGGATTAAATGTAGAGCGATCGGTGCTAAGCCTATAGGTAGCGATATCCATCCCTAGAGCAGTCACCGGTTCATTCTGGTGAGGAGTTTCAAAGACTACAGTTGTATAACATCTTCCGGTTTGCGATTTTTATCTAGCTAGCTTTCTAAGATCAGTCTTGGTGAAAGAAACAAGTCCCTAAATACATTTGAATATCTTTAAAAGACAAACAATCTGTTGTTGTTTTCCTACTCTAACCAATTTTAGATATTCGAAATATTTCTAAGTTCAGTTTTAAATTTAGAACTTTAGAAAACATAGTTTGTGGTTAGTTTTTTTAATTTCAGTACGTGTTGTCCAAGGATCATTTCATACATTACTTAGGTGAATTTTTAGCTTCGAAATACTCCTTAACTGAAACTGACATCAACTAAAATATGACAAAGATACCCCTGGAATTGCAAAAAGCTAGTAGAATTTTTACAGTAGACTCAATTTATAAGTGCCAAATTATCAAGTTACTTGATATTGTAACACAATTGCGTAGCTCGTTTTTTTTAAAAACCGTACTGCACGAAAATGTCATTTTTTAAAGTTATGAATGTCTTCCATAAATTATTAACATTTTAACAAAGGTCTGTATGACATGACTTATAAAGTTGACCATGTTGGTAATAAAGTAATTATCAATCTAATTCTCAAATTGAATAATGCATTCGATATTTACTATATATTATAATCGTATCATATTCATGAACAAATATTATAAACGTTTTTCTCCATGATCCCATGTAATGTAATAGTTGTACATTGTTAACAAGTTTTAAAAAGAGAAGAAAACATCTATTTAATAGTTTATGGTTAAAAGTGATTCACCAAAATTGTCATCGTTTAGTAATGAAAATTAACAAATTACAGTAGAGCTTCACAAAATTGATTTAACTTTTCAGTTTTATGATTCGTTCATTATTATAGTGTCCTAAATTAATGTGTGAATTGGTTGTTTCTTTTTGTTCTCTTAACAAAAAAAAAGAAAAAAAAGAGAGAACTACGAAATAAAATATAAACTGATATTACTTACTTGTTAATCTGAACAATCCAACAACAAAAAATAGTTCATGTTATAGAATAGAGATTTCTTTCTTCATTCACTTGTTCTTCTACATGATACAATTGGCTTCGTATGTGTACTTTTTTTTCATTAACAAAAAATTCTCTTGTCCTTTTACTTATCTGAACAGTTAACTTATTTTATTGAAATGGTTACAAATTCATTTCTATTATAGCTGCATTCTAAGACTACTAATTAAACGGTGATATGCTTTTGTTTTTACTTAAGAGAAAGGCAAACAACTAAATTAAAAGAACCAATAGAAATGATAAATTCCTTTGGAAGTTAGCATTATAGAGATAAGTAAAGTTTGAAGAGGATTTATAATGTATGTTAAACACGCTAACCAGTTTAGTATTATATTTACCTCGTAGATGAGTAGATTAAACATTATATTTAAAGTAGGTTTCCAGAAATAAGTGAATTCAGATGAATATGCACTTAAAATATTATTTTGTGTCCAGATTACTGAGTTTTATTAGATTTTATATCTCATTTCATTACCATCATATATATAGGCCTTTTGTTAGCATGTTTCCGATAAATTTTGTTACTTATGTTCTGATATTATTGTAGGCTGATCAACTGGTTTGATTCGGCGAATCAAATATGCAAGACTAGATATGTTTCCCATATCAAACGGAGATCACCTCTGTAAATTCACAGCTTTAATAATTATCTTTTAATACTTGAAGCAATATGTTCTAAGCATGGATCTAAATTGGAGACAAGATAACTGACTTTGAATAGTACTGAGTAGGGAAATATGTTTATCCTTTATTACAGCAAGGAATCAAACTACAGAACTATCAAATCACTCTTTAAAAAGAGAATATGTACCATTAGTTTATTCTCAACTCCCTTTTACTCGGAGTAATACAACTTGCTTAATAATTAGGCTAATTAGTCCACTACAGAGTGAGCTGTTTTGGGTTAACTAGTAATTATTTCCCAAGCAGTGAACTTAAGTTTTAACGAATAAATAGTAGTTTATAGTTGTCAGACAGTGAGCTTTGTTTGTGCTGTATGTAAATCAAGTTGTAATGTAGCCATAGGTTTAAATAAACCAAGATAACATTCAGTGTAGCTGAAGTTAGATAGTTCCAGGCAATTAGCAGAAAGCTAAAGACCCAAACTTTATGTTAAATCATGTTCACTATGAAAGGATATTTACAATACTGAAGAAACGAACGATTCTATCTGAGATCTGAATCTTTATGACTCACTGTCACAGACAGAACATAAACTTCCTGTAGGATCAAGGCATTTAAACTGATTGGCCACTGAGTAGAAACTAATATCACGTTTGTTTGCTTCTAAACACTTAGAATGGTAGCCACAATCCAAGTACTAGACCACTCAATGATAAAAAGGTTAATAAATATATGTATCACTAATATCCATTGTATTGTTGGTAATATGTTTACTCATACAACTATCAGTATTCGCCTAAAAGTTGTTGCGAATGTGTGAAATAACCATTTACTGGAAATTCATGTATCGAAATTCATTAATATTATTATCCTAGTTTTAGATATTAGGCATGAAACGTTGTGCAAATTAAACTAGTTGACTGAGTTGTATTTATTGAGATAGAAAACGTTATTAATAATAATGATCGAGTATGGCGTGATCGGATATTTATTTAAATGATGTATTATTATTACTATTACTATTATTATTAGCTTTATTCAATACTATATTTTTGGTACAATATAGAATTTTCAGCACAAAGTACTTCAACAAGTTTCCTTTTCTTATTTCTTGATCGACCCTTGCGATAAATATTGAGTGGTCACCAGTTCAGGAATAGACATCTGATTAATTTATATTCGTTTCTATGCACATTGCTAGCAACCATGATGTTTCCGATTGGGCTCTTTTGTAGCTTGTACAACGCACCTGAATAAGTTATGCGACTAATAGGCATAATGATTTGTTAAAACAAACAAGGAAATATATAACTTGTTGAAATATCCAGATGGCAGGAACAGGGAGCCAAGATATTCAAACAGGACGCCTGTAATCTATATCATAATTTACAGTTGATAATTATTACCAGTTGAAAATATTATAATGGATTTAGGAAAGGATCTTTCAGTTATTTAATCAAACACTTGAATCTCAGTTATCATCATTTGGTGTTGAATTTCTGTCTCTGACATCCTAATACCGAAGATATCTCTAAAGTTTAAAACTTAATGTTTTTGATATTACTTTGAATTGTTACATTGACGAGTGGTTAATTAACATATACAGAATGAATAATATGT